TTATAAGATCTTTAATGATGATTTAAAGAAGGGAAAAGATTAAAAATCGAAGTTAAAGACAAAATTTTCTTTTGTTATTTATAATATGTTTTTAGTTTTAAAATACATTTCTGGTGCATATGTATGCATTCTACCCCCCCTAATCCATCCCTAACTTTATTGTCGTAATAAATAAGAACTTATACCAATTGTTCCACTAAGCTTACTATCTTGCATATATATATATATATATATATATATATATATATATATATATATATATATATATATATATATATATATATTATATATATATATATATATATATATATATATATATATATATATATATATATATTTGTAGAATAGAGAAAGAGAAGTAACGTTAAAACAATGTAACAATGGTTGAGAGTTGGGTGCAAGTGCAGCTCTAACTACGTTTACAATGTGTTTTTGTACCTTATCTAAATAAGAAAAGACATCAGATGCGCTTCAGATATGGCAACAGTATTTCACACAAAGACAGATTTGGGATTTATATAGATAAAGAATAGAATCTGAAGTAAAAAAGAGTTAAGCTCAAAAAAGAGATGCAACCTTAGCAGATGCTAATTTTGCATATATTTTTTAAACCTTTATTTTTAATTAATACTAAAAAAGTTATAAGATAAAAAAAGTACTAACATATCTTGACGTTTTCAATTACCTTTATTTGTAAATTTCTTTCCACCATGTATACATCAATACTTTATAGAGTAATACTTTATCTGTGGAGCTATTATAGCAGCTTTTCTTGGAATGGTTTTTCTAGCAGCTTCAATTGTTTTGACGTCACGAATCCGCAACTGCACAAAATGAGAATCTTCATATTTCTTAATAGCTGATTTTAAATCTTCAAATGATAAAAAAGAATCTTTGCATGCAAAACTAGTTGACATCTTTTAAGTATGAACGAAATGAAATTTTTAAATATATATATAGTTCAAATATTTTTTCAATTATTGGAATTTAAAACATATGAAATCGGAATTTGTTGCGACACGTGACATTTTTAACCAATAAACAGAATTCCGGCATTATAAGCAAATTTCGTTAGAGTGCCGACTTAAGACATTCTATTCACGGTCTATAAATATTGGTACTATGACGCCTTACGCCCACTTACACCACCAGCTTTACGCCCACTTACACCACCAGCCGTGGCGCAGTGGTTAGAGTTCTGGCTCAGAATCCAGAGGTCCGAGGTTTGACGCCATCTTTAGCCCAACAAGCGACATTGGTACGGACGGAGGCGTGAACTTCCTGTTAAATGCTCTCCCGCGGTGCTCTATGATAAGACCAAAAGGACTTCTGGGAGCGCCTATATACATATAAAAAAAAAAAAAAAAAAAAAAAAAAAAATTTACACGAATTGCCGATCTTTATATATTTGTTATATTTTGTTAGAATATACAGTCAGGAAAAAGTTCACAGTGAAAACTATGTTTGCAGAGATAGCAAAAATTGTTTCATAAAATAGCTAATGTAAACTATACTTTGCAGGATATGAGTAAATTGGATAAATCAGGGTGGCCACTGGTAATGAAAATCATGGAAATGTCATGGAATTTTGTTTGGTCATGAAAAAAGTCATGAAATTCTTAAATTTTCATTGATATTTTCAAGATATTGGCAAAAAAAAGTACTTCAATGTCAAGTCTAAGTTTTTTTTGAATAAGATAGTTTTACAGTGTGAGTTATAGATTATCATTTTATTGCAATCAGTAAGATTAGATTACCCTTTTCAAAAAATAGTTAAAATTTTAGTATTTATCAAAGTATTAGTTTAATAAATCATTTAAATTTTGTTTGAGTTTGTATCAATGAATCAGTAATCCAGTACCACCTGTTTCATGTTCCTTAAATTTTTGTTCATGTAAAGCTGTACAATTACTCTAAAAGAAGAAGCGGTGGAAAAGAAATCACTATTTTTTTATTCACCTGACCTATTGAAAAGTACACTTATATTTTTTTAAATACTTTTATATTTAATTTAAAAACTTTAATGAAAAATTACATTATTTTTAATATGTAATTTTTCATTATTATAAAATTACATTAGTCATGGGTTGGGTAACATCTTAGAAAGGTAGAAAAAACTAACTTGATATTGGAAGTTGTGGGTTGCATGTTATTCATAGTGCATTTGCTTTTGGTGTTAAATCGATACCATGGAACTTAAAAAAGGCGATGTGGCAAATTTTTCATGATTTACCTGCCAGAAGGGACGTTTATGTAAAAGAAAACTGTTTTGAAGAGTTTCCATTAAGGCAATAGTGTTATTTCTTTATCTTAAAACTCCTAAACTATTATGCCCTCAGCTTTCTACTCCCCATTGTTTAGCACACCATCAACTGATACATAAAATTTTAATGGACCTATCATTTATTTATTACGTTTATTTGATTCTATCCAACACGCTGGATTGAGGGTAAAGCAGTTGCTGATAGAGCTATTAGTATTTGGGGAAATATTGTTAAGGTCCTTATATAATGGGAAAGTCTTAGCAAAAGCCAAAGACCTAAATATAAATTTTATGATATACTAATAAGTCAATACAAGGACAACCTTCTAATAGCAAAGTTGGAATTCTTTAGGTATATAGCGCGGTGTTTGAAATAACATTTAGTGGTATTCCAAACAGATTCTTCAATGGTTCCTTTCCTAAATGGCACCTTGGAAAGGTTGTTTAAAAAGATTTTGCGCATCTTTATTAAAAAAAAAATATTGAATGTTGCAACCACTACATACCAACTTATCATGCTTGATGTCTCAAAAAAAGAAAACCAATTGCCAGTTGATCAAATACACCTTGGAACAACAGTCAAATTTATTTTAGGCTCTAAAGATGTAAAAGAAACTGCAAAAAACAAATTTAAAGAAGATTACATTAATATGATGGTTAAAGTTGTTTAAAAACTGAAAAAAGAAGTCCTTTAAAATATATGTTAGTGCGAAACGCAGCATGTCTATTCCCTAATAATATGATTGATAACAAAGAAGTAGGGTTTGCTTTGTTTCGGTCAGCTGAATAATAAGCTGCATAGATCAAAGTTGATATCGGCCCAAACAGCTGGTTCTACAAAAGATCAGTTTGAAGAACTTACAAAATCTATTGTAGCAGTTAATAAGAAAGAGTTCAGGCAATTTAATTGCCTAAAAATGCGACTTGACAAGTTTTTAATGTCTTACTTGAATGGGAACAAATATTTTGAATTTTTAAAGAAAATTTGCATCTTAGTTTTTATTTTATCTCACAGTCAGTGTGCTGTTGAGCGAGGTTTTAGTGTCAACAAAAACTTTTTAATTAAGAACATGCAACAAACTTGTTTGATTAATCAGCGTACTGTTTATGACCATCTAACCGCATCGAAACTGGATGTTCAAAATTTCACAATAACTAATGAATTAACAAAAAGTTGCAAGTTAGCTTTTTTTCGATATGTGCAATATTTAGATGAAAATAAAAAGGAAAATATTATTACTAAAAAAGCAGAAAAAAGAAAGCTAATCGCTGATACCCTAAACGAAGAAATTGAACGTTTTAGCATTCAAGCAGAAGAATCTAATTCCATGGAATTATTAGTTAAAGCCAATGCTTTCAGGCAAAAAGTAAAAGTAAAGCAAACCCTTATTAAACAGCTGGATAATGCAATTAGTAAATTAGAAACAGATTTAAAAAAGAGTTAGTTTTACATAGCTTTGTTTTTATAGTTTGTTTTGTTTAACATTTTAAGTTGAAAGTATTTTTGTTAGTCATTTTATATTTTGATAGATAGTTTTAATACAGTGAAGTACTTTTGATTTCTTCGAATATTTATTTTTGTTCACAATTTTAAACTTTGTTACTTTAACGATTCATATGAATGATTCATATCTATAATTCTTGCACAAAGTTATACTTAGTAGCTATTTGTTATTCAGAAACCTAAAATGTTTAGAGTAAGTTACGTTTGCAAAAAGGTTATACAAAAACAATATGTTAGAAGATTGACTTAATGTTTTTGCATTAATGTACATCCATTAAGGAATTGTTCCTTGTATTGATAATGTTATTAAAATATTTTCTATAAAAAATTGACTACCTCATTACTTGAACAATGTTTATGCTGCTTGTTTTAATACACGCCAACTACTTTATATTAAAAAATTATTTTCCATTATCACAGCTCTTCCTATAACAGCTAACAAATATGTATGGAAACCCCTTGAACCAAGACATCAATGGTGTCCTTAACAGGATGATTTAGATATAAACCCATACTTTTGTTTGGGATTAGCTATATTATTAGTGGTCATTGTTCAGGCAAACACTAACCTTCGCTTTCTGACATTGACAATTTCTTTCTATCATTTTCTAATTTAGCAATAAAATAAAACAAATAAAAATTATTTTTAATAAATTTTAGTTTTAGTACCATTTAAACCAGTTTTTTACTGTAATTGTTTTCAAAAACTATTACCTTTAAATCCTCTAGCCCAATGGTAGGAAGATTTAAAGAGATACATAGAAGGAGGCTATTGGAGTCATTGCCCTTCCCCCCTCTCTTTAGGTTTTTTTTTTTTTTGATATATTGAGCACATTGTTTAAAAACGTAACTAAATTTAGGAGGCTGTTTCAACGTGGCTTCAAATTCCGATAAAATTATGTAGTGCAAATTCTATTTTTTGCGCTTGCCTGCTTAAAAATTCATTAAACCTGTAAATGAGTGGTCTGAATAGTCGAAATCAAAAAACTTGCCCCCTTCTACCTTGACTTCATGGTCTGAATCCGCCCTTGCTCCAGCCCTCCTTTTTTTTTTTCATTTGCCTTGTGGGCGTAGTTCCGTCACTTAGAACGTGGCGTAAGGCGCTTTTTTAGACGGGGTAAATTTGAAACCTGTGTCCACCCCTGCATATAGTATTATTTTCATATTAAAAAATATAGAGAAAAATTTGGCAATTTGATTTTATCAAATTTTATCAAAAATTATATAAAAATACAACTAAAAACTATAAAAATAAATATAAAAACCTTTTCGTTATAAATTAACAAAAAGTTTATATACATAATAAAATCAGGTAACAAAGTGTAAGTTACAATTACATAAACAAATATTTATAAAAACACTAGACAGAAAACTTCCCCAAGTGATATAAAAAATTGATCTTTTTTAAACATAAACCAAAAATTGGTAAAATCAAATTTTTCTTGCTATGACGTAAAAATATAAAAATTTTAGGAGCTCACTATGACGTAAAACATCATGATTTCAACTTCTAGAAACAATCTAGAAAAAACAATTCTACAATATTATGCACGCATATATATATATATATATATATATATATATATATATATATATATATATATATATATATATATATATATATATATATATATTTTTTTTTTTTTACATCAAAATATATTTAAAAATAGTTATACGCTGCCTTTTTTATTAAAATCAACTTACATATTAAATATATATATATATATATATATATATATATATATATATATATATATATATATATATATATATATATATATATATATATATCGTATAACAAGAAATGACTTTTAAAGATATATATATATATATATATATATATATATATATATATATATATATATATATATATATATAATATATATATATATATATATATATATATATATATATATATATATATATATATATATATATATATATATATATATATATATATATATATATATATAGACACATATTCTATTTTTATTTTATTTTATAACTATTTAGTTAAATTTGCATTGCATATAAATAAATTTTACAATTTTTTCTTCTTAATCTGGAGTATTATTCTCTTAGGTTAAAAATGATAAGTGGCAGATGTACTGAGTGAATTACTTACAAAGATATAGGTTTTCGATACCATCTCGAAATTTAAGTAAATATTTCTGAACAAATATTTTTTGATACAAACTAGTGTTAACAATATTGTTATTATATAATAATCTGTCAGGGTTTCTGCCTGTGGTTTGAGATGTGTTGGGTTAGATAGAATGTGTTTAAGAAGTTTTATCAATAAGCTTTTTGATAGCTTAAGATGTGTTGGGTTAGATAGAAATGCTTGAGATGTGTTGGGTTAGATAGAAAGCATGAGATGTGTTGAGTTAGATAGAAATTGTTTAAGTGATTTGTTTTATCAATAAGCTTTTTGATACTATGACAGATATTGGAGTTTATTGCATCGATCTGAATAACTGCTCAAAGTAAATATAATACAGAGTATTATGTTTAATTATTAGCAGTAATACTAAGTAAATATAAGTAAATATAGTTCTCAAATCTTTCTTTTTTTTAAAGCAAGGAATTTCCAATATGTTTTCAAAACGAATTATTTCTTAAGGCATTTATTTCATCAAAAATGTGAAAGCCCCACAATTATGATGTTGGTACGAACAAAATGGTCTTGAGGAAAAAATACCGAATTAAAGCGTTATAACCAATAAAATTTCAATAAAAAACTTATTTAATTATCTTTAGCGCTATAGCTAAATGGAAATAAAAATGTAATTTAACTTATTCAAAATAATCCATCCAAGTTTATTTCTCGTTAAATTTTTCACTTTAGGTTAAAACTCTTCAAAATAATTAAAATTTGTCATTTGAAAATTTTTCTTACTCGATTTAATATTATTAACAGTTATTAAATTCTGCATAACGACAATCTTTAACAAGGAATAAAGTCTAGATTTCAAAACAGCATGATTTGTTAGAAGAAACAGAAAAAATTGCAAAAAAAGATACAGGTGTTGCTGACAATCTTGATCAAGTAAAAAACACATTCTTAAAAGATTGAAGTGCTTGTCTGCAATAATAAATTTATACATAAGAAAATTAAAAACTTTAAAACAAAGCTGAACAATTCAATTTGGTTTAATTCACCTCCGATAAGACCGCTAAATTTGAGGAGGTCTCTTTAAATTTTAAAAAAACTACTCCAGTATTTTTTTTCATTTTTTTTATATTTTTATTTCATTTTAAAATCTCTCTCAACCTTTTGAAAACTATTAAACATGAAACTTGTCAAGGCTACTGCATAGAGAAACAAGTTAGTCTTCTAAAGAACTTCTTAAGTGGGTTTGAATCTGAAACATTTTAATTACCACACACACACACACACACACACACACACACACACACACACACACACACACACACACACACACACACACACAGATTTGTATTTGAATTTATAATAAAACAAGTAGTTGTTTTCTTGTTTAAATCATTGGGTAAAATGTGTTAAAATAGATAAAAATAAAAATACATAAACATAAACTTACTTTATTAATTTTGTTACAAATTGGTTTAATATTATCCATTTTTTGGGCAACCATATGCAGTCGGTGTAAACTTACAAATCAATGTCATAACTTCAGTGAACAATTTATTTCTAAATACAATTTTTGTTAATACAATATATTTAATATATATATATATATAATATATATATATATATATATATATATATATATATATATATATATATATATATATATATATATATATATATATATATATATATATATATATATATATATATATATATATATATATATATATATATATATATATATATATTTGACATTTAAATTTACTGTTTGTTTTAAATAAACAGCTCTTAAAGATACCTTTTTATGTAGAAGTACAAGGAAAAGTGTCATTAAAAGTAAGTAAACATAAACAAAACCAAAACTATCCAGCATTCTAATTTCTGGATTAAGTTGAAGTTAGATAATTTTTTTTAACTTAAACACAAAAATACCTAAAATATGTTTTGATAACTGTCTAAACCATGTAATTTTTTATTTTTTTATTTACATAAGTTAATCTAGTTATATGGCTTCAATGTACAATTACCTATTTTTACAGGAACCAAACATATTTAAAAATTTTTTTGAAAATAAAAATTCATTTTGTATTTTTTGCGCACGGAAATATTTTGGATATGGCATAACACTGGACTAAACAAACTAACTAGCCTAAACTAGCCTATAAACCAAGTAAAAAAAGTGTGACAATTAGTTGAATAAACTTATATATATATATATATATATATATATATATATATATATATATATATATATATATATATATATATATATATATATATATATATATATATATATATATATATATATATATATATATATATATATATATATATATATATATATATATATATATATATATATATATATATATATATATATATATATATATATATATATATATATATATGTGTATATATATATATATATATATATATATATATATATATATATATATATATATATTATGTACAAATAAAATTAAAAAAAAAATAATTTACAAAATTTTTAAACACTTATTAATTAAAATTAAATTATATTTTAACAATCAAGTAAAAGTTTATAAGACTTGGTGTTCTGATTGATTATTTATATAACAATAATTATATAAATAATCATTGTTATATGCTCAAATATTGATTTTGCCATGACCAAAATGATTTTTTTTTGTTTTTTTGTTGAATTGACTTTAAACATATTTCTAGATAGCTGTACCAAATTTGAGTTGTACCAAACTGTATTTTTTATAAAAATAAATCTTTTTCTTTTTTTTTCCAGTTCCACAGTGCTACAATATAGTATGAGAAAATTGTTTACCTTTCTTTGTAGTCATAGCATTCAACACTTTTCCCATGATTTTTTAAATCAATAATCAATTGTTTCACGGAACCATTGCTGCAGCTTTCTCTAAAAAAGAATTAATACAAAATTACGAATTAAATTTATTTTAGAAATAATATTAAACAAACTGTAAAGTAAACTTTTATCTATATATATATATATATTTTTCTTTATCATAAACTACAATGGCTTAGTATTTATTTATTGATTTTTTTTATTTGTTATAAATTTATCATATACATAATAAGGCTGCAAGCAACCACTATTATGTTAGGAGTTACTAAAAACAAAAGAATAGAGTTATAAAAAAAAAAAAGAGTGACAGAAGAATTAAAAAATTGAAGATTATATGAATCAGAAAAACATGAAGACAGGAGAGAGTTCTAAAGGGTGTTCCAATGTGAGGAAAAAAACTTGACGAATAAAAGTTTCTAGAGCATGCAGTAGCAGATACAGTAAAAGAATGAGACTTTGCTTACTGACAAGTCAAGTGAGAATGACTTTGAGCTAGTGGAACTAGATATAATAGCTTCCTTTGAGCAGCAACCATAATAGTATTTGTAAAAAAGAGAAAGAAATCCAACTTTATGACGATGGGAAAGAAGCTTAAGCTTAGCAGATAGAGCGGATCCAACTACCTTTACAATGTGTTTTTGGACCTTGTCTAGAAGAGAAAGAGCATCATTAGAAGAACCAGCCCAAAGCTGGTTCTTCTAATGACAACAAATTTCATAGAGGGATGAATAAGAGATTTGTAGAGGTAGAGAAAATAATCAGGAGAGAAAAAATGGCACAATAAAGAGAAGCAACTTTTGCAGATGCTGACTTAATTGATTGTATATATGGTTTCCATGAAAAGTCAGTAGTAAATTATAATCCAAGAAGACATTAAGAAGAAAACTCAGTAGGAGGGTTGCCATTCATCAATTTAAGAAAGTTGACAGTACTGCAATAACTGTTTGCAGTAAATAACTGAGTTTTGTTGGAGTTAAACTTTACAAGCCACTGTGAGCCCTAATCTGTTACAGAAGTAAGATCAGATTCAAGATCGGCTGCCTGTTCTAAGCAACCGAAAAGAGAAGACTTTTTTGTCAAGACAGGAGTATAAAGTTGAGACATCAGCAAAAAGAGCTGTTTTAGATGTGAGGTCATTGGGAAGATCACTAATGTAGATAAGAAAAATAACAGGACCAAGGATAGAACCTTGAGGTACCCCAGAAATTATTAAAACAAAAGAAGAGTGTTGGCCTTTAAGGATGACTTTGATACAGCAGTTAGGAAGAAACAATTTGATCATCTCAAAAACTTTCTCAGATAAACCATATGAAACAAGCTTAAGGAGAAAACCATCATGCCAAACTATTAAATAGTTTAAAGAGTATTGAAGGGAGTTCTAGAAAACAATTTTGTAAGACTATGACAGTAATGTTATTAGGACAACAAGCCGTAGAAGAGTTTAATCAAGATATGACTTTAGCAACAAAAGTTGTAGTGATTTGAATGTCTAACAATGGGTTAACCTGTTTAATTGGAATAAAAGGAAGAGAATGGCCATAAGATTGGAGGGTTGAATTAAAAGAAAAGTTCTTTGCTAATAGTTTTGCCGTATCTTGAAGAGAGTTAATAAGATCAGTTCCATGAATAAGAGATGGAATGTTAGATCTACCCTTGTTAATGATACTATGAAAGATTTTCCTGATGTCTCTAGAGCCTAACTTTTGAGATAAGATATGAGATTTAGTGAACTGAGAATAATGGAGCTTTGCATCTGACAGCATCTTTTAACATTGATTTCTTGCAATAATAAATAGCCGTTTCAACTCAAGTAGGAAGTGATCGAGGGTCTGCTAAAAAAAAGACTTTTTGCAAAATTATAACATTTCCTAGCCAGGGCTAGAAAAATATTCTAATTTCCTTCCAACAATAACTCTAATTTCCTTCCAACAAGGTTGCAAGCAACCACTAATAATTTATGAGTTACTTTAAAATAGAAGATTAAAAAGGTAAAAAGTTGTAGTTTGTATAAAAAAGGAAAACATGAAGATGGATAAGAGCTATAAGGTTTTTTTAATGTGCAAGGAAAAAAACTGGATTAATAAAAGTTTTTATAGTATGAAGTAAAAGGATGCAACTTGTTAAATAAGAAGCCAAACAAGAATGAGTTTGATTTATTGTAATGGAATTAATAGCTTGTTTGAGCATTGACTATGATTAGAGAAATAGTATGAAAGAGGAAGGCTAAAGGCTCCTGTTGCTGATGATGATGATAATGATGAGGATGATGATTATGATGATCATGTTGGTCATAAAGATGTTAATATATGCGTATATATCTAAAATTTAACATAAATTTTGAAAAATTATCTATACTTTAGAATGTGTAAATGATGATTATGATGATCATATTGATCATTAGGATCAGACCTTCCAACTCTCCAGGTTTTACTGCGAGGCTCACGGTTTGACAAAAAATCTCACTGCCTCAAGGTTAATCCAAAACTCTAACGGTAAATTTTGAAAATTTTCAAATTAATTTTTTTTTGATTTACTTTCGCTTAAAACAATACAAATCTCAAAAAAGGTCGTTGTTACAGATAAACTTATGAAAATTAAGTGCACAAGATAGATCATAAAAACTGCCACTAACATAATGCTTTAAACATGGGTTTGTTTATATTTTTTAAAAATTAAATCCAAATTTTTAAAAATAGCGTTAAAGCAAAAACATAAGGGCAAATTTAGCTGTACATGGTGGGCAGATTACCCGGTTAGGGCAATAAATTTGATGATAATGCATTTGAAAAGGCTAAAGTAACTGATAAGATTTTTGAATAACAATTTTAATGACTTTTATTGAATAACAAGTAAAATTAAAAATGAATTTATAAAACCCAATACTTTTATATGTTATTAAAACACAAATTTTGCAATCAATTTTTTTTTATATTAATATTTTATTTTATTAAGCTATTGCAGTTAAAATCTTCTTCGTTCCATATAAAAAAATAAACTTATTTAGAATTAACTAAACTAATTTAAAAGTACTTAATGACCGCCTAAAGACACTGCAATCAGATAAAATAAAAACTCAAGAAGATCTTTGCATACTGCAGAGGAAATATGATAAACTCCGAGAATCAAATTCTGAAACTATAAAAAATCAGCAACAGCTGTTTCTAAACTAGGCCATGAACTTGTCGTTTCTTCAAAAACCTATAGAAAATTCAATTGTTACTAATTCAATAAGCTTTCATTCCTTAACTCAAAATCATACGCAACGTAAAACAAATCTATCCTTCACGTAGAGGATAAATTAAAAAAAGATAAAACAGGTGAAACTTATGTACAAAAAGTTAAATTACCACCCAAAATAGCATACCTTAATACCATAATAATAACACCTTGCTAGTACAACAGTCTTAAAAAAAAATTGAACATAAAAGTATTGATCAAGATTGTTTGGATGAAAGAAAGAATTATTATTTGAAACCGGGGGTATCTGCATCAAGGAAAGAACCAAATTTTGGAAATAAATTTGCTAAGAACAGAAACTCTATTGCAGGAATCCATATTGTTTGAGAATTCATTATATTTGTTGGAGGAGTTTGTAATTCCACATCCGAAGCTTTTTTGTTTAATTAAATTAAGAAAGTATTAGGTGTTGAGCCAATTGCTGTCACACTAGGAAAATAAATAAAACCGCTCTTTTAAAGTAACAATAAAAAGTCAAAAAAAACACATAGTCCTAAAACCAAAAGTTTGAAACCACAATATTATTGTTAAACAATTTCGAAAATCTTACGAAAACCTAGGAACTGAAATGATGCTTCAAAATAATAATTCAGTAGCTAAAAGTCAATCTGACATCGTAAATTAATCGATAATCGATAAATAATCGACGTGCAATAAATTCAAATAGTTTTAGTCTCTATGCGTATAACTGTCAGAGTCTTAAATTAAACATATACTGTATCTCTATCTTAATTAACTCTTTTGATATAATTTTTCTATACGAGCACTGGCTTTCAAATGCCAAGAGATTTATTTTACATAATTTATCAGCTCCGGCACAGCAATTATTTTTTCACTCTGCAGAAAAGAAAGAATACGGAAGACCATTTGTGGGAATTTCTTTTTTAGTTCGTAACAACTTACTGCTTTCTCTTCACATAATACACAAAGATGAACACATTCTTGCAATAAAAGGTTCATATGGCAACAGAGTTTTTACTTTTATTGGAGTTTACCTATCTTCATATAGAAATACTTCTGAATCATTAGAACAATATCTGTCTCAACTTAGTGTAATTGCCTCCGTCATTAACACATCTAAAGATCAAGGAGAGTGTATAATTGCCAGCAATTTTCACTCATTTCCTGAAAATATATATGACACGGAAGTTCAAAATAACCAAGCACAAAACAACTTTTCTAAGCATTTATCTAATCTTCTTGAAACAAATGAGCTTTCTTTTTTCGAGATAATTAGTGGTACTGGTCCTACTTATATCTATAATCATAAAATGCTATACCTATAAGCATAAAACGCTTAATCTTACATCGACCACATAGCAGTCTTATAAAAATCATCAATGTGCTTTACAAACTGTAAAACGTTTTACTTCACATCAACAATTATATATGGACATAGATTGTTTTGATACATTAAACTTTGGTGAAAAAATGTATTTATAAGAGATCACAGGAATCCATTTCATTTAATAAATATAAATTAGCTCGTAAAAATTTTTGTAAAACTGTAAAAGCAGCTCATAACCTAAAAATCAATAAAATTACTAAAAACATTGAATATCTTCGAAAAACTAATCCTCAAAGTTTTGGAACAATATCCGAAAAACTAAATCTAGTCCAAACACTTGTATTTTTACAAAAAATATAAAACAAGATAGAACAAAACTTTAATACAATTCTCAACACTCCCACAAATACTTACAACAATGCACCTTTTCACAATTTCGATATAAAATTTATGTGCACGCAGAAATGGAAGTAAAAACGAAAAACAAATGTTATTTTGACAGTAATTTGTTTGAGATTTACAAAGC